CCAAATTTTCTGATCAAGGAGATTATGGGGCCACAGAGTAAAGTGATCGATGATGTAGAGTGTGCCTAAGGAGAGTCACATGGAGAGAAAACATTCTCTCAGGCTTTCACAGAGAGCAAATTGGTCAGGCAATGGCCGTGACTCATCCACATGGCTGACACTGACAAAGGATCTACAAACTGCTGTACAGGGTTTCAGGGTAAATCCTGAGGGGATCTGACTGACCTTGTCAGATACAAAAGTTACATTTCTTGTTATATAGGTCTTGCTTTATCTTGGTCTTAACCATCCAGCAGAAAAGTATAAAAACAACATATAAAAAGTAAAGCCATATTAATATGCTGAGCTGTAAAAGGCTCAAGTCAACAACTTCTGACATTGCCAGCCCTGCGGATAGCCCACTAATATTATGGACTACTGGACTACATTGGATTATTTTGCTGAATTCACGCTCCTACAATATTTAAATGGCAATGGAATATCCATCTCTGACAAAACTAATCAAAAAAAGGGATACAAAGGAAGGACCATTTTGTATCTGTATATTCAAAACAGTTAGGATAGATATACAGCTACTTTCTCTTAATTTAGTGAATAGAAAGATTTGTTCTAATAGTGTTTGGACAGGATACCATGTCTGTATCTTGTACTATGAATAACTACTATGAAGACAACAAAGTGTAATATATTAATTATTGTAACTGTCCTACTAACCTATTTTGGAACTGTCTCATTGCTATTTGTTTCTCAATAAAATTAATTTAAAATAATAATAAAAAGCCTTTCCTCCTTTAACCTGGGAGTGTCAGGTATTTTGTACCAGCAATGAGAAAAGTGACTAAGACACAGCCGCGGGCCGCGGCCCCCACACAGCGAACTTTCTTGCCTGGGCCGCAGCTGGACGGCCCTAAGCAGTGGGCACTGGGAGGGGCGAGGCCAGGAAACAGGCAGGGTGGCAGGAGCACCTGGACACAGCGGGCCTCCCCGGGGCGCAGTGGGCTGGGCGGCCGCTCAGTCCCCCCCAGAGCTCTCGGGTGTCCTCAGGCTGCCTGCTTGAGCACAAGCTGCATGGTTGGGAGGCGAGCTTCTACCTCCAGCAGCAGCCAGGCCTGAGGTGCTGGCACTGTGCAAAGGTTCTGCTGCTCTCTGGAAAGGCAGCAGGTGACTCCTTTTCTTCTAGGGGAGTGGCGTTCAGTGGAGGGAAAGCACGAGGCCTGCGTCTGGTGCATGCCTAGGGCCACCGCGCCGAGCCAATGGCCACAGGACGCTACCAGGACGCCTGCTTCCTTCCAGAGCCGGGGGCAGCGCGGCCTCGTCCTGACCACTCAGGGTCTCTGCAGACAGTTCTTACGTTGAGTCCCAATTGGTGGCAAGTGGGCAGGCTGCGTGGTCACCTGGGTGTATCCGAGGCCCACGAGCAGCTACCTGCAGACAAGGCAGGGCAGGTCCCACAGACACAAGGTGCGCTGGCCGTGGCGGCACAGCGCCAGCCTGGGCAGTCCTCCATACTCGGGACACAGAGCAGCCCCACATGAGCACAGGACACTGACCACGAGCTCCCGCCGCCCAGGCCGTCCCACAGCTGCTGGGCTCCTCTCCGAGGTTCCGAGGCAGGTGCAGGGTGTGCAAAGTGAGGCAGCTGGTGACAACACCTGCTCTGGGGCAGCAGGAGGGTGGCGCACATGCCACAGGCCTGGGGGACCAGTCCCTGAGGTGCCAGATGCTCCTGGCGAGGGCACCTCTCTTGGGTGGGAGACGCTGTCATGGAGATTGGTGCTGTCACAGGCACTGAAGTCCCTGCCTCCTCAGCACCCTAGAGGCCCACTGGGCATCCACAGGCTACCCCGTTGGCGTCTCGGTGCCCGGCCAGTCTGATAGCCAAGTGAGCAGCAGCCGGAGGAGACCTGCCACATGTGTGGTTCAAGATGGAATCTGATGGCAGCCTTCTGCTGCCAGGGGCTTGCGGGGACAGCTGACTACCTCACCACAGGGCAGGGCAGGGCAGGGCAGGGCAGGGCAGGGCAGGGCAGGACAGGGCAGGGCAGGGCAGGGCCAGGCTCCCTTCAATGCCAGGACACAAGGGGCTTCGGCCTCCTCCTTCTTCAGCCATCCTGAGGCGCCATGGTCAAGTCACCTGCCTGGGAGTATTCGGGGCCCACACCCACAAGAGGAGCAAGGATTCCCTGGAGCTCTAAGATGCCACTTCCATCTCCCCTCCTGGGTCAGGGTCACCCTGCTCCAGGCTTCCTTCTACACTAGGGTCCCTGCCGGTCCCGACCTTGCTGAGTGCCTGGGTTCCCAGGCTGGAGGCCCCGCCTGCCTGGCATGCCGACCCCTCCCTTGGCAGAGGATTGAGTGGACCTCACCCTGGGAAGTCGCAGTAGAAGGCAACCCCACAGCCCATCCCTCTGGCCTGGCTGCAGCCGGGCCTCCCTGGTGACAGTGGAGTGTGCTGCATTCTCTGAGGACATGGATGTTCATCTCTGGGTCAACACTTCTGGGCTTGGGGTGTGAGAGGGGCTCAGGTCCTAAGTCTGAGTGTGGCAGTCTCTCCACCCCCCCCCCTCCTGAGGTCCAAGGCCAGTGGCCAGGGCCATCAGTCCCCACCCCAAGGCCCTGGCCTGGCAAGACTGGGCCCTCCTCTGAATTCACCATCAGACTAGCGCTCTGCCCTGGGGACTCAGCGGGTCCCCAGCCGAGACACTGGATGTGCAGGCCTGGAAGACCTGGGTCCCTTCTGCCTGTGGAAGGAGCTTCTCGGGGGCCAGCAGCAGGAGCGGGAAAGCGGGTGCTCAGGGGTCCCGTGAACTCTGATGACAGTGGCCCAGCTCTGGGCCATCAAGTGCCACCCTGGGAAGAGGCTTTCTCCTCCCTGCAGCCATCCAGTTCATAGGACCCACCTGGCAGTGACAGCGCAGGGAGAGAACAGGAAACCATGAGCGATGGGCCGGCTCTGTGCTGCTCCTGCAAGCTCCCACGGAGACACTGGCCCTGGCTTCCCAGGCGATGACCCCGGGCCCTGTGTCAGGAAGCTGCTGAGGTCAGGACCCAGGAGTCTGGGCACTGCACAGAGCTGGCCCAGGCTCAGGGCCACCACACAGGAGAGCACGACCAGGCACGTGGGCGCCGGGCACTCGCAATACCTGCATGCTGTCCAGGGCGCTCTGTGCGGGCCAAGCAGAGCGTAAGCAAAGGAAGAGGTGGTGAGCAGAGGGCCACAGGCACCATGCAGCCTCCTCATTGTCAGACCATGACCGTGGCTCAGAGGTCCACCAACAGCCAGGGGATAGCCCCCGGCGGCCACCAGGGGCCACAGAACAGACCCAGACCAGCACACTGGGGGCTCCAGGGCAGCTGGAGGATACAGATGCTCCCATCCCCAGGCCTCGCTGGGGAGGCACAGCAGGCACAGGGACAGAGGACAGGCCCCCAATGGAGGGCAGCCCAGCCCGCCCCCTTGGCCAGAGGGCCCAGCCTTCTAGAACAGGGAGCCAGGAAGGCCTCCCTGGAGACACACAGGCTTTCTCCTGACTCTGTCTGCAGGGCCACTGCTGCGTGACCTCCACCCCAGGGTCACTTCTGGCCCCATCTCAGGCAGGTGAGACCCATGCCCACACTCACACAGAGTGAGGGGCAAGCCTTGGGGGTGATCCTAGATGGTCAGCCTCCCTCTGCCTGCTCACGGTCCAAAGGGGGCTGGTGTGGGACAGACAGTCACAAACATGGGTGGCCACTCCCCAGTGCCACGCTAGCAGGAAGGACAAGGGGACCGCCTGCCTGCCTCCCAACCCCACCACTGGGGTCACTGAGGATGGCCCAGGGGCTGAGGGCTACCTCATGGGGCCGGCCCCTCAGTGGCACTCCCACCAGTCCCAAGGCCTCCTTCTCTGAGCCTGCACAGCCTGATCATGTGTCCCCAGCAATCTGCCAGAAGGGGCACCCACAGGACGGGACACCCCGAGCCAATGAGAACCAAGTGTCACTGGACACAGTGCGGACCCACTGTGTGGCCACCCCCATGCCTCAGTTTCCTCTCTGGTAAAGATGGAGACTGGCCCAGGCTCCTGTGCAAGCAAACATCCTGAGCGCGGGTCCTGGGCCCCGGCTCTGCCCCACGGCCCGCCCGCCCGCCTGCCCCGTGGGGCTCAGGGGCTCCACTCACCTCTAGCAGCTGCACGGCCCCCTCGTGCTCCTTCTTAGCTTCAACCTGAGCCTGTGGGTGATGGAGACAGAACAGCGTCAGCCCTGGGTGTCAGCAGGGCCTCGGGGCCAGCTCCTCAGCTGTGACCCCCAAGTCTACGCAGGAGGGCGGGGGTCCCACAGGGGCGTGGCCATGGGGGGCAGAAGAGGGGGACATGGTGTTGCTCCTTCCATGGTCCCCACGGGCGGACTGATGGCGGGTGAACCCAGGGCAGCAGGCAGATTCTGCCAAAGCCTCCACAGCACCTCCATGCCCCAGAGACCTCACTGTGGAGAAGCAAGATGCCCCGCAACTGGACCCCAAGGAGCCCCAGGTCCCCCAGAGGCCTGGCCAGGGGCACCTCCAGGGCAGCCCTGGACCACGGCCTTGAGGCGAAGCCACCTGCTGCACAGAGGGAAGATCCCACAAGTTTCGTCTGTGGCCTGGGCAGTGCAACTCCTGCAGGACCAGAAGGCATCCTCTGCCTCCCTGTGCTCTGGACCCAACCAGGACCGGCGCAGCGGCTTCATCCCTGCAGCCAGCCCTCGCCCAGAGGGTGGCAGAGAGGGCGGCTCCTCTCCCTTCAGCCTCAGCCTGAGAGTGGAGGCACCAGGAGGCCCGAGCTGGGGCAGCGGCAGCTTCCTCAAGAGAGCAGCCACCCGGCGGGCGGAGGAAGGCCGCCAGGCTGGCGCTGGGCTTCAGCAGCGCGCGGAGCCAGCTGGCGGGGCCTGAGCGCAGCACCTCTGAAGCGCGTCTTCAGCCGTGTGCGCCAAGAACACTTCCTTTTGGGGTTTTCTGTCGCTTGGAAGTAAGCGTCCCAGTGAACACCGCCATCCACGGCTGAGAATGTGATGTGACTGCTTGTGAAGTCAGACAGAGGGGTCCTCGGGGGTCTGCGGCTGCACCCCGGACAGAAGAGACAGGTGCATGCACGCTGCACGCCAATCGGGGGTGGCAGCCCCCGCTGACCCCCGGTGTGCGGCGGCCGGCTCCGGTCCCATGGGCGCAGCTGTCCTCTCCTCACGCAGGGAGCACAAATAGCCCGAGCCGCGGCTTGGGTCTGGAGTCTTGGCGTGGGGATGAGCGGAGCAGCACCCCGGCGTCACAGAAAGGCAAGTGAGCGTCATCCTAGCAGCTTCAGCTTCACAGCGCACCGTCCGTGTGGGCCGGAGGCGGGCTCTGGGCTCCCAGCTCCAGCAGCAGCCTGTGCTACGGGGACTTGCACCCGGCACTGCGTCCGCGCTCCTGCGGCAGGGCGCCGGGCCCCACGCGAGGGACGCAGTTCTTTTTCCTTTCTCCTTTCCTTTCCTTTCCTTTCGTCTGTCTGTCTGTCTGTCTGTCTGTCTGTCTTTCTTTTTGTGGTACCGGGGATTGAACTCAGGCCCTTGCGCTTGCCGGGCAAGCACTTATTCTACTGAGCCATCTCCCCAGCCCCAAAGGATGGAATTCTTGAGTGCGGCCCAAGTGCCAAGGGCTTAAGAAGGTTCCAAGCTGAAGCAGGCAGCGGAGAACAACGATAAACAATGCAACAGAAAGAAAAAAGACGAGAAAACAGCCGAGAGCACACAGAGACGATATAAATAGCCAACGCTGCTGTTGAACCATTGAATCAAAGCGCTTTCAGAGAGCAGAACTAAGCCCGTGTGCAGGCTGGGTGGGCTCTGCCAAGCTGGCACCGGCAGCGGGCACTCAGCTCTTGGCGAGGAACAGAGTTCCTGCTCGTGGGCGAGCTGCAATGGGGAGGGGGCGCTTGGGTGTCAGAACAGATTGTTAAACAGTTCCAAAGGCAGAGCTGGGCTCCTGTGAAATTGAGAACGCAGCCCCAGCCCCAGCCCCAGCGAGGCTCATTTAAGGTCCAGTGCCGTGCCGCTGCCAGGGAAAGGGCCTGTCACCAAAGGGTCAGAGGCCTGCTGGGGCGGGCACCCTGGAGCAAGGGTCCCTGGAGAACAGTATGCATGGAGGGCGGCACCATCCCCGCGTCATCATCCGGCACCCTAGCACTACACTGGGCTGGAATGGGGGATGTGGGTCACGCTAGAATGAGGAGGGCCCCTCCTGCGCCGTCTACAGCTCCCACAGCATGGGCAGCACCCTCAGAACCATGGGCTGCCGGGGTCCCAGCCAGGCCCCGACTTGGCAGTGGGCAGAGCAGGAAGCTGGGGTTACACTGTCACCCAGGAGATGGCGGGGCACAGCAGGGAAGCGGAGGTGGACCCTGGGTGCCCACCCCACCCTGCAGGCCCAACACAAAAGGCACAGAACAGCAGCCAGGGTGGGTCAGGCCTAGGGTGTAGCTCCTCTAAGCACCCGCAGTGCAGTAAGAGCCTTGAGACAGAGTGGGCAGTCGGCAGGCAGGGCCACCTGGCCACACGGTTCTTAGGACGGGACAGACCACAGGGGCCTGGAGCCCACACCGAGCCTGGGGGAAGATCCGTCCTGCACCCGGCTGCTGCGCCGTGGTATGCTGGAACCGGCATTCACGCCATAGGCGCCCAGAGCACAGACATGGCATGGGGCTCTGCGCACGCTTGTGCTGCTTGGACCACGGCTGTGGCTGGCGCACCTGGCAGCCCTCCTGTCCTCTCTCCCCGTCCTGGGAGGCAGCTGCTCCTGAGCCATCCCAGGGAAGGAGAGCCAGCATCTCGCCGGGCCGGCTTTATAGTGACAATAAGCCACTTCCAGAGACTAGGACAGAGGTTCCCAGCAAAGGCGCCAGAGCAGGGGCAGTCAGGCCCAGAGAAGAGCTGGGGCTGCGGGGTGGCCGTGGGTGGGGCCTGGGAGCAGAGTGCATCTGGGCACCACCCAGCGTGAGGGAGCAGCAGGACCTGGGGTGCCACTGCTGGGACCCCCCTGCGCGCTCGCAAAACCCCAGCTGCTGCCCCCGTGGTATCTGCTCCTCCCTCGGGTTACTCATTAAGGAGATCAATGGCTCCCTGCGCAGCAACTCCCTGCCCTTACAGGCGGCAGGGTGCGTTGAGGTGCCAGAGTCCCTGATATTGGATGCTGGGGTGGACCCCTCACCCGCCCCATGGCAGGGCAGAGCTACTCTGGTTCCGCACATCCTCCTTCCAGGGTGCTGGGGAGCCAAGGCATGGAGGAAAGACCCTGTGCCCAGCCTGCCTAGGAGGGCCAGGGCTCCGAGGGTCTCAGAGCCCTGGGAAAAGAAGAGCCCCAGGGGACAGGACCTTCTGAAGGGAGAAGGGAAACACGTCACATGCCGAGCACAGGGGACAGCCGTGGACTAAGAGAGCAGGAGGTGTCCATAGGGACACTCGGGAGCCAGCGTTCGAGGTGATGGGGTAGAGTGTGAGACAGAGCAGGGCTACAGAGGGGAGACCGGGCAGCCCTCCTGGGACATCTCCACAGCAGAGCTCCTTTGGATCATGGTGGGGGACAGAGATCAGAGTGGGCTGGCCACTAGCCTACTGTTGGGCTTTGCAGTGTGTGGGTCAGGCTCCAGCTCTGCACCGGCAGCAGGGCCACCGTCCTCTCAGATGCTCCCTGGGGCAGAGCAAGGCATGTCTGCCCCTCGCCTCAGGGCCCCGCCTGTGCAAGCTGCTGCTGTCCAGCACCTCTCGGACCTGTTCCTCTCCAACCCATCCTCTCCGACCCATTCCTCTCCGACCCATCCTCTCCGACCCGTCCTCTCAGAACCATTCCTCTCTGATCCACTCCTCTCTGACCCATCCTCTCCGACCCATCCTCTCCGACCTGTTCCTCTCTGACCCATCCTCTCCCACCCATCCTCTCCCACCCATCCTCTCCCACCCATCCTCTCCGACCCATCCTCTCCCACCCATCCTCTCCCACCCATCCTCTCTGACCCATTCCTCTCCCACCCATCCTCTCCGACCCATCCTCTCTGACCCATTCCTCTCCGACCCATCCTCTCCAACCCATCCTCTCCGACCTGTTCCTCTCCGACCCATCCTCTCCCACCCATCCTCTCCCACCCATCCTCTCTGACCCGTGCCTCCTTTCATCCTTTGCCCCCACCCCCTCCCCCCCCAGAGGGCCCAGCGCTGGCTCCTCACGTGGCTGCTGGCCAGGGAAAGGCACTCTGGAGAGCAGGCGTGTGTGGTGCTCAACCTCCTGCTGAAACCTCCAAAGTTGCCGGCCCCTCCCCTCTCCCGTCCCATCCTTGGCCCCCTGGAGGAAGCATCGTGTGTCCACAGCAGGAGGCTGAGCAGGGAGATAGCGGCCTGGCCCCAGGCCCTTCCTGCACAGCCCGCTGAAGATCTGTCTGGTGGGAACAATGCCCTGCGCCCTGGATGGAGAATGAATTTCCGCCTCTTATCTGTCTCAGATGGAGACAGAGCTGCCGTGGTGGCTCTCGGGTGGGGAGGGCAGGTGCCGGCTCCACTCAGCCTGCCGCACTTGTGCCAGATAAGGCCAGAGGATATTGCTTCTGCCTGCCAGGCGGCCCCTACCGTGCAGAGCATGTGAGGGCCCAGCGTCCACACTGGCTCCATGAACCTGCCCCACCTGAGGTCTGCCGAGCACCAGCTCCCCTCGACCCTGGCGGGACAGAGCCCATCCCCACCAGGCCGGACCAGCAAGGGCGTGGCCCTGCTGGAGAACCAAGGTCCGGGACAGGCCCAGGACGGTGAGGCTGCGGAGCGCAGCTGAGGCTCTGCAGGCGCCCTGGACAGCACTGGCCAGAGCACACACCTGCCCTGGCCCGTGCTCAGCCCTGTGCCCTCAGCAGGCACTCACTGGCTGCCCCACAGAGGAGGGTGGCGATTGGCCAGGGGACACCGGGAGGGAAGCAGACGTGCGTGCTCCTGGCTGTGGCCCTCCCACCTGTGGGATCGGACAACAGGACCAGCTGCGAGGGCAGGCCTGGTGGCGGCTTCCTCTTCCACCCTGCACCCAGGAGCCCCTCACGGCCGCTCAGCTGCCCCTCCCACTTTTTCTCCTTTCTCTCCTTGATCTCCTGGCAAATGATCTCATGCTGTCAGCACTGCCCTGCAGCCTCATTCTCTCGACAGCACAGACAGACAGACAGCCTGAAGACAGCAGACCAGCAGTCGGGTCCACTGAGCAAGGCCACTGCAGCCCAGCCACGCCCACGGTGGCACTCACACCCCCCCACACACACACTGCAGAACGCAGCCACCCCTCCTTGGAACCTGGGCCTGCATTTCCCACGAGGCTGGCAGGGGCGGCCTCTCTGTGCCGTTCCAGCTGCGGCCAGAGCACCTTTTGTCCTGCAGCCTCTCCAGCAGCAGCAGGGCAGAGGGCAGCAAAGGCCAGCAGCTGTGCACAGGAAGAGGGCAGTGCACGGGAGGGGAGGCGGGCTCTGAGCCTGCAGGGCGAGGACCGCGCGCGGTACCCCAAGGACCCCGGCCCCCGGGGCCCCGCTCACCTTCTGCAGTAGCTCGATCTCCTGCTGCTTGGCGTTGAGGACGGCCAGGGCCTGCTCATGCTCCAACTCCAACTGCTGCCTCCGCTCTGCAGCCTCACGCATGTGCTGGGGGACAGGGGTCCTGAGCACGCCTGCCAGGCGCCCACTGCCCTGCACCCACCACCAGCACCCAAGGGGCTGCACCCAGGAGCAGCCGTGCACAGGGAAGCCGCCTCCCTCGGCGCCAGGCTTCTCCACGGCGGCAAGGGACGGGGAACCCGGCCCAGCCAGACTCCCGCCCCTGCGCTGCTTTTTATATCTTCTGCTCTGAACGAGAGCGCAGCTCAGACCCCCGCAGAGATGGGGGCTTCTCTCTACGTCCAAAGGCCCAGAATATCCAGTCTGCCCCGGAAGTTTGCAGGGATGAAGCAGGGCCGTTTGGGGGGGGGGCGGGTAGGGCTGCCGCTCTGTGCTTGCCGCGGGCCCCGTGCAGAGGACCGCTCAACAATGCCACGGCAGCCACACTAACACCAGCCCATGCAAGGGGACAACCTCGGACAGGACACCATGACGAGAGGGGACATCTGCTCTGTGTCTCATAACGTGCGGTAAGGGTCACCCCCAGCAGGAGCAGTCCCATTCCATACCCATCCCTTCACTTTTTAGATTAGGATGCTTACAAAAGGTGACTTTGATGTTAACATTTTAAAATTGGATCTTTTACCTAAAAATCCAAGTCCTTCAAAAATAGTAAGATTCCCCCATTCCTAGCACCCAGTAACCCCGGGAAGGACAGTCCCTGAGGCCTCCGTCCACCTGTGTCCCAGGCCTGCCCTTCTTCCTAACTGGATCTCCCATTATGCGGGAGTGGAACCCCAGCCCCGCTTGGCCTGGCTGCTGACCCTGTCCATCTCCTACCCCACAATGTCGCTGACTTCTAGTCTTTTGCTGTTTCTAACTGAACGCATTTGGGAGCCTTAGAGCGGTGCAATCATGACGCAGTGGCAGCCCCACGGCAGACGCTGAGTGGGCAGAGCCGGGGAGGTCCCTGCCACACAGGGCGCGTGGGCAGGGCCTGGTGCCTGCGGGGCGCAGAGGCGCATCCCGCTCCTCCTGCTGCTCTCCCGCAGTCTCCCCGCCCAGCCCTGTGCACCTCTACCCGGGGAGGTCTCGCAGATGCACCGCTGCGGGGAACAGCATGGGCAGAGCCCCACGCCTGAGTCCTGCTTCTTGGCCTCACAAGTAACATCTGGGCTGGGCTGAGTGTGAGGCGCTATGAACCCCACATCCCCTCTGCTGTCTCCCAAGAATTGTGAGCTACAATCACCCCACTGCTAGGAGGCAGGCAAGTGGTGGTTTTGCTGTTGCTATGGAAACTCTCACAGGAACTCCCTAACACATGAGCCGAACTCCACAAAACATGGGCATCCCCGTCAGCTGTTCTAACCGGCTCTTCCAGGGTGGGGCAGGTTCTCCCCCCGCCCCCCCATCTGAGCAGGGTGGACAGAAGGTGCCACCTCCCTCATGCTCCGTATCCAGGCACCGAGGCACTAGGGTCCCTCTGTCAAATGCTGGCTGCACCTGACCCCCACAGACTTGGCCTGGTGCAGAGTGGACAGTTAGAACGTCAAATTGTCTAGGAAGCCTGGTGATATTTTCATCTAGTGCTGTGCTGGATGGCTGGCAGGTCCCTGAACCAGAAGCCCCAGCTCCGAGGGCAGTGCCCACCCTCAGCTGCCCACATTCTAGCTCAGACCCAGCAGGGGCCCCCACATGCTGCTCTAGGGGCTGGCAAACCACGGGCGCCAACCTGGGCCTGGCAGTGTCTAGGGACCTCTTCACGACAGCCTCTACGTCCCCTCTGCCCCATCACCTGCCTGGGGCCCTGTAAGCCAGCAGCTCGCAGCACCGACATCCTCTGGGGCATGGGGGACAAACTGATCACAGGTGTCCTGGGGCTGGGTGCGGGTGCTAGGCCCTGACCAGAGGAGAGGCCACAGCACCGTGAGCAGTCACATCCACAGTGACAAGGTGAAGGCGACACTGTCCACCAAACTTGGACCACGCCCGGGTTAGGCACCCCACCATGCCCACACCCCATGTCAAGAGCTGCTTTCAGTGAAGCCAAGCCACCGCTCAGAACCACGCAGCTCCACGTAGCAGGACCGGCCCTGGCCTGCCCGAGAACACAAAGCTGAGACAACTGGAGATCCAGAAGCCTCTCAGCTCCCTGTGCCAGGGACACACTCTTCACAGAGAAGGGCGAGGACACGGGGCAGGAAGGTGCGGGGCTGGGCCACCCGAGAGTGGCCGTGCTGAGGGGGCTCAGACCGGCAACAGGAGCAGCGGCTGCATCACTGGGAGACAAAGCCGCAGGTCAGCCCCTGCCCAGGTCTCCTGGTCCAGGGAGACGACCGTGTCACAGCTGCCGTGGCAAGAAGGTAAGGCTGCGAGTCCAGCGCCAGGCTGAAGGGCTGTGAGAGGCGCCAGCCGCGCAGCTGGGGCGGATCCTGCACCTCAGCCACATGGGAAGGGGCGGAGCTCAGTCGGAGCCAGGGACCGTGGGGCCACGGGGGTCCATCACCAGGCAGCCACCCACCTGGGGATGTTGGCCCTTCCTGCTCTGCAAGCAATAGGCTGCACGGCAGACTTGCCCAGCCCAGCCCGCGCCCGCGCCCGCGCCTCCCTCAGACGACAGGCTTCCTAAGTGCTGGGAATGCTGTGCCAGCCCTGAACGTGCAGAGCTGTGGGACTTCACAGCAGCACCCTAACACCATGAGACGGCCATTCCCACTCTGAGGGGCAGCCAGCCCGAGAGGTCCCGGGTGTGCGCAGCCTGCACAGCTGCGGCAGGACTTGAGCCTGAGACCACGGTGGGGGTGGGCCGACCCATGGGGTACTTCTGCACGGCCACCCCTGTGAGACTTCTCCGGGCTGCAGTGAACCCCTCACTCCTGGTCCCCTGCCACCGAGGAGGCGAGCACCAGGGTCAAGGCTGGCAGAAGCCACCTGCCTCCCTCCAGGGGCAGCTGGCACTATAACTCTCATGACTACTGCAGTGGTCACAACACCCGGGTGCCCTGGAGTGACAGCCGCAGGACCTCAGGTGACGCCGAAGCCCCCATCTCGCCCAGCCAAATCTCGCTCTCAGCTCCTCTCCAGAGCGCCCCCCTCAGGAGCACCATTCGCACGCATAGCCAAGCCCACAGTCTGCACGCCGCGCCTTCTACAGGTTTATTTTTACAGCAATGACATTTACAGCCGGATGCCGACGCAAGCATGAGCACGTGAGGAGCTTGCAAATGTCAAGGGGCCCGCTCGCCTGCCGGGCACTGCTGGGCGAGGGAGTCCACAGCAGCCTCCCCGGGAGTGGCAGTGGGCCTGTCCCCTGCGGTGCGTGGTCCCTGAGCAGGAGGGCCGGCGACATCCTCACTCCCTCCCTCCCACCTAAAGGCACTGCTGTGGATGTCACACGTGTGCAACTCGCTCGCCGGCAGTGACAGTGAGCTCTGTGGTGCACGTGGCTTCCTCCTTACAGGTGTCCGGAAAGGACCAGGAAGGACTGCGTCGTGTCCTCAGCCGAAGCCCAGGCACAAACTCAGCTATTCTGGGTGGCAGCAACTTCCTGTTCTGTGCGTCAGAGCCATCCATCAGGGCAGTGAGAGAGAGAAAGTCGAGTGAATTCTGGGAGCTGTGATGCACCTTGCTAAAAGTGTCTGGGTTTCTCAAATCAGAGAAAATCGGGTAGCAAGGCACCCATTCAAAAGTCAGTGCACTGAGCCGGGCATGGTGGTGCATGCCTGTAATCCCAGCACTCGGGAGGCTGAGGCAGGAGGATCCCTGAGAGCTCAAGGCCAGTCTGAGCTGCACAGCAAGACTTTGTCTCAAAAAAAAAAAAGAATCCAGACACTCCCGGTCCTCAGCTGCCTTCCTCTCCAGCCTCCCAAGCCGCCTGCCCCCCCCAATCCTGGAAACACGGACAGCGGCCCTCACCCCGGAGTCAGGACACAGCGGCCTCTCACACTGTGTGCCCAGTGGTCCAGACATCAGGCCGGGGACAGCAGCAGCAGGGCAGGGCTGGGTCGGCCAGGCTGCATGCGAGTCATTGCCTGCAGCTCGCCAGCCACACACTCAGCCTTGGATTCCTTGTTTATTGAGCGGCAGAAGAGGACGGAACCCAGGCACAGCTGTGGGGGAGCGGGTGACGTGCAGGCCACACCTCACGTCTACACAGCAGACCCAGCGGGCGGGCAGCAGCTGTCTTCCGGCCGTTGTTTCCCGAGTCTGCCATTTGACTTCCACTCTCCTGTTTCTTTTTTAGCATGGCGTTTTCGCGGATCCCTGGGGCCTTTCTGCACATTTTAATAACTCGGCACCACAACACAAGAGCCGAGGTGCAGGAGGACAGGTGGGAGCTGCTCCTCCTGCTGCCACCGCGCCCTGCAGGTGGCTGTCCAGCGCCACACCAGGCATAGGACAAAGGTGTCAGGAAGGAGCCCCTGTCCCCGCCCTGCCCAGGAACCAGACAGGACCCCAAGTAACCCACAAGCCCACGTGGCTCCTCCACACAGAGCCACATAACAAGACCAAGATGGGAACTTCACAAAGGACCAGAGATCGGTCAAACACATCTGCGCAAGGGGTGTGCTCACCAGGCCACGGGTGGGAGGGCCAGGGGGCCCGTTCTGTCCCCCACGGTCAGGACAAAAGCCTCTAACCAAGGTGTGGCAGCGCTGCTCCGCCTGAGGACTTCTAAGGAGAGGCAGCCACGCCTTCCTCCTGCCCTGTGGCCCTTGACCTCGGGTTTGGCACTGCCCCCTCCCATCTCCACTGGGTCACTGGCCCTCCCATGCGGCTCTTCTCCCCAAGGACCCAGTCACTGGACAGGCCACCATGCTCTAGAATGGCCTTCCTTCACGGTCACCCCGCCAAGGCCCCACTTCCAATGAAGGCCACATGCACAGGTCTTGGGCTGGGACTTCACAGTCACCTCAGGGACACGGCTGGACCCAAGAGACACCCTGTTGGCTCTAGACCTGTCGTTCCCTCACCCCTTGGCCACAGTGGATGCACTGGCGTCCCTGTCCTCAGAGTTTTGTCTATTGTGCCCTGCTTCAGGGTCCCTGGAAACCCTGCCCATCCAGGTCCCCATCCCCATGTGGCCTCAGCCAAGGTGTCCCCGCCAACCACACCTGGCTCACCACTCCTCAGCCTGCCCTGTGACCCTCTATTCCCCAGTATCCTTGTGTCTCCCACTTGGGAACTCAGAAGGGGCTGCGATGTGTACCCCATTCTGCCCCCGATTGATGTGAGCCCCGCATCCAGTGGACACACCACGGGCCAAAGGCCACAGGCACGCACTGCCGTGGATCTGGGCAGGCCCAGAGGCCACAGGCCACGAGCACACAGCAGCAGAGTGAGCCGCTGCCCCACCAGCTCGGGACTCGCAGACCGCAGCAGGAAGAAGGCACAGAGTGCAGATGGCTGTGCCCGCCAGGCGTGCAAACGCGCAGGCGCCCTGAGAGCGCACCACGCCTCCCTCAGCGACCTGCTGCCACCTAAGGACATCTAGTAAACAAGCGGCGCCCATGCCTGGGGACGAGGACGAGTGCCCCAGGCTACAGATACTGCCACAGCAGGAGCTATGCCGCCTAGCTGCTGCCCCAAAGCTCCAGCCTCATGCCAGCCCTCAGCTGCGCCCGGCTGTGCAGCCCCCAGCCCCTCGCACTGCATACGCCCACAAGTCCCCGCCTCTGGTCCCCTCGAGGGATCCCGGAGCACAGCCGGGGCCTCTCAGCCTGGATCCTGCCCAGGTAGGAGCCTGGGCACGCGCTCTGGGCACCACCAGCCCCGCCTCTTGGCTGGCCACCTCTCCGTCCCCCGCTCCCTCCACAGGGTCAAGGCCTGAGCCCTGCAAGCTTGAGGGGCATCTGTGACAATGGGGGCGGACAAACCCTCAGCGCCCCACGTCCACAGGCCCAGGCACTGCCCTGCTACAGGCAAGTGAGCTTGGCCGTGCCCCGGCCTAGGCCTGGACTCGCTGCACAGCAGGAGGGGCAGGCGGCACAGCCCCACCCCCAAAGTTCAGGGCATGCTGCTCGGGAGTGCAGGGCTCCTGAGCCATGGGGGCACACCAGCCCCCTCCCTGAGCCTGGGCGGGACCTTCCCTGCCCCTCAGAACCAGTGGGCTCAGCCCACCCCAAAAGCCTGCCGCACTTAGCCCGAATTTCATCTGTCTCCCCTTGTTCGTAGACAACATGTCTTCCAGAAAGCACCCACCTGCTTCAGCTCCCCGGCCGCAGTGCCTGGGCCCGGAAGACCCTGCGACCTGTGTCCTTCCTCTGACAGCCCAACGAGGTGACACGGCAGTAGGGTGAAACCCCAGGGCTGGCAATGTGAGGCAGAACTGAGCAGCTGGACCCAGCGACCTCTTCAGGGCTGGATGCCCCCTTACACCCTGGGGTCCCAGCGGGGCCAGGAAAGAATGGAGCCCTGAGCAGAAGGCTCAGTGTCAGAAACAGGGTGTTGTGGTTTGTGTCTAGGTGTCCCCCCAAAGCCTCATGCAGTCTTGGGGCGTCTTCCACAGTTTGGGATTACTGCGGGTGTGGAGCTGCCCCCGCCCTGGGCAGGTGATGTGCATTACAAGGTAAGGAGGGGAGAGAAGCCAGCTGCTTGAGCTGCTGCTACCCCTCCCCGAGCTCTTGCTCTTTGCCTCCGCCATGAATTGCTGCCCTCTGCCGTGTGCCAGGCTGCCTTGGACCCAGCTGAGTATGGACTGAAACCTCCAGTAACTGTGAGCTAAATAACCCTTCCCTTCCTTCACTTTGTGTGTCTGGTATTTGTCCCAGCAATGAGAGAAGAGTAACTAAGACACAGGGCCAGCACGGGGACCTGGGGCTCCCTTTGCACCCCACCAGCAGCCTCCTCCCTATGCCCGAACCCTGCCAGTTGACCCTGGACTGGAGCCTTGAGGCTTCTCCTCCTCTCAGTAGACAACTCAGGGATTGGGTCACAGCCCCAGACAGCCACCCAGGGTTCACAGCAGCAACGGACTGGGTCCCCAAGCTGCTCCCCTCTGACATGGCGCTGGGGGCAGCCAGCTGTGGCCTCTGCCCACCAAACACTGGGCTCCCTGTCCCAGGCCTCCACGGCCAAGGTCCCCTAGGCCACTTACATCCTCAGTTTCCTGGCCCCTCTTCTCTGTCATTCACTCGAAAGCCACTTGGCCCCAAACCCCCGTTCCAGGGTTGCTGAGCTGTGAATCTCACTGTGGGGTGGAAGCAGCTGTTCACAGTTCTCTAGTGATCTCTTTCTTGGGGCGCACCCTAGCTTGGAGGTTGAAGTGAGAAGCGTCCACTGCCCACCTCTGCTGTCCCCAGGAGAGGGCAAAGTGCACAGCACCTGTTCACCAGCTGCCCAGCACCCGGCAGGCTCCATTCACCCTAAGAGCAGCTCTCCCCACCAGGGGCCAGCCTGCAGGTAGAGGGCGCCTCGACTTTGCACACAGAAAGAATTCCATCCGCACCACCAAACTCACCATTGTGCAGCATACAACCCAACAGGCCTGCTACCGCCCTCCCATCTAAATCCACAACATCGTCCCCTCCAACCCAGAGCCAGGAAAGCCCACCCCCGAGCCATCCCCCGCATCCTGAGTCCCCCAGTCGCCCCTTGTCTAGGGGCATCACAGCGGGGAAGGGGACACCGCCGCTGCCTCCCTGTGCAACTCGGGAGGCCGCAGGAGCACAGCGCTATGGAGCAGACGCTAAGTGATGACTATGTTACATTTCTTTTTAAATTTCCCACAACAAGAGTCAAATACATTTCTTAACACTCAAAAAAATGAAGCATTGAAGATCGATTCAGCTTAACTCTACACCCACAGCGAACCAATCCCATTAAATAAGCCAAGAATGCCCGACTCGTCAAGAACGTGTGAGCAACACCCAATTACCTGTGTCCGGGGAGAGCAATTTTCTGATTGAGCCACTCTCTTGATAATTCAGGGTCGCTAAACACCTGAGGAACAGCTTAAAACGCATGAAGTTTGAAAAACCAACATCGACGCTCGGGGCTTCCACTGAAGTCGACTCAATTTCCATTCCAGAGCACAGCCGGCCACCTTCGGCTCAGCTGTGTTTAACACCCTCAGAAATGGAAATGCGTAATTGGCTGCGCGGGATTGCTTCCAGAAACATCTGAATTTTGTTATTCATTGCTTTTTTATGCCATCAAAAGGGTAAAAACAGCCCACAGAGCCCTGAATTTTGATGAAGCCTTCAGAACGGCTTTAGCTACTTGGTACTCTGGAGTCAGCTGCCCTCCTCCTGCTGGCCACCACAGCGGTCACTGCCACCGAGCACGTGCAGCCACCTACCTTCAGGACCTGTTCTAGGTTCTCCAGCTTGGCGCGGGGCTGGAGTTTCTCCTTCACGCCAAATCGCGTGGCCTGGTCACCACAGCAAGTCTGCGGCCACGCTGGGCATACTCTGCCTTCACCTAGGAGACACAGAGGGAAGCAGAGGCCATCACCACCTGTTAGGAACTGGGGTGGACGCGCCCAGCTGGCGCCTGGCCCTGCCTCTGCAGGAGCAAGAGAGCTGACTTCTGGTCAGAGAGGCTTCCCGGCTAGTTCTCCATCCTGGACTTCACCGGGCAACGCCCGCAGGGAGTGGCCACATGTGGCTCAGCCTGGCCACTCAGCAGTGGGTCTCCTTTTTCACCCCACCCACCTCCACCAGAGACAAGGTGATAGGTTCAGTCCTGGCCAATTTGCACAAGCCTTGGCTATAGGAATTGAATGGAGGTCATGGGACCAGCCACATCCCTACGGTCTTGTGTAGTGGGGAGACTGTTTTGCCCACTGCAAAGTGGTCGACAAAGGCTGGAGCTCCCGTGCCCTTTGTCGCTGAAGGAAGAACCCACCTGAGCACAAAGCCACTAAGATGGAAGTGGAGCCCAGAGAGCTGCAAAGGGAGGCCAGGATGCTGACTGAATCAATTGCACCCCTAAATCAAGCCGCACCTGCAGCTGGTTAAGATGTAGCTACTCCGGCCCCTGTGCTTACACCAGCCTGAGCCGCTGTCCGTCCTAGCTGCCTGGGGCAGTCCTAACAGATGCGAAATTGGAGCTCAAGTTGTTTAAGCACCCTCACTTTTCTGCCTAAAAGGTCTGTGGTTAAAATTGTCACAGCACCCCGTGTGTATCAGCCCAGCTGCCCCAGTGACGTTGAAGCACACCCGTGCCGCCCTCAGGCCACCACCCTGGGGGCCTGCTGTCCTCCATCCCTCTAGGGCCTCTCAGACAGGAGCCGCTCCCTTGCGCCCACCCTGACGTCGCCTGTCCTACAGCTGTCACCCTGTCCCTCAGGGTAAAGCCCACACTGCCACACTAAAGCCCTATCCCCATGATACACTGAACCCCCAGGAACTTGTCCACACCACAGCCTTATGTCCACGTGGGCCTGCAGGGCCCGGCCTGTGGCTGGCTCACTGCACTTCTCAGGATGCCCCAGGTCACCCCGTCCTAGGGGCTTGCAATCCCCTGGCTGCTGAGGGCCGGAAAACGTTCACTCTGAGGCTACACTCTGGGTGTCTATGCCACACTGTCTTCTCCCACTTATCCACTGATGGCCACAGGGGTGCAGCCACCTAATGCCACTGCAGCCCTAACATCTCTCTGCGACCCTCCTGAGGCTACACCCGAAGTGGACAACTGACCCACGACAACCTGTGTGTCCATCCCCTGGGCTCCCTGTCACCACTGCCCTCACACCATCCCACCACCTCATGTATCTCTGCCACTCCAAACTACACATCTTTTAAAAATTGCCAGATGGGGCTGGAGAGATAGCTCAGTGGCATAAATGCCTGCCTGGCAAGCACAAGGTCCTGAGTTCAATCCTGGTACAGAAAAAAAAAAAAAAAAAATGCCGGGCAGGAAGGAAGAAAAGAAGGCCCACACGGGCAACTCCGGGCTCGCAGTAAGTTGTCAGGCCTGGCTGCTCAGCTGTGCTCACAGGAAGGCAGTGAGAGTGAAGGCTCGAAGCTGCGTGGCCGCGCGTCAGCCACGACTAACCACGGAGCTGTGCCCCCACCCCCACCCCTCGCCGCAGGTGCTGAGGTCAGGACAGCTGTGACAGCAAAGCCTTGAGGACAGTGATGCCCACGCTCTTGTGGAGACAGACACACGGTGAAGGTGTGCTAGGCAGGGCTGGCTGACATCTGTGCTGGGCCAGGCACAGGTGTGGAGGGGCAGGGAAGGCAGGACGAGTGGTGGGGCAGCGTCCCCGGGAGGGGGCTTTGGAGCTGAGTATGCTGGGAGGCAGCCGCCGGCTTTGAGGACCAAGCAGAGCCCCCAGCAAGGGTAGCACAGAAGGTCGGCCCACAGGGCTTCCGGGCCAGGCTACAAAGGGAGGGCAGGTAGGGTCCCCGCCCACCAGCCACTGCAGAGGACAGCGCTGGCCTGGGGCTCCTGGGAAGGCTCTGTAGCAGCCAAGGGTGGCACAGTGACAGCCAGGGGGACAGCACACAGCTGGCTGGGGAGGGTGCAGGATCAGGCCAGCATCCGTTGGGGCAGGAGCCAGGGCAGTGAGCTCAGCAGCAGACGCCAGGGGCTGCACCTGCTAGGCGTAGGGTCACAAGCTCGATCCCCAAACAAAACAGCTAACAAAAACATAGGGCTGCGGCCCTAGCTTAGTGGGAAGGTCTTGTAGTCAACATTCAGCCCTGAAATATGATAGATAGATGGGTAGGTGACGAATGGATAGATGGTAAATAAGACAGATACATAGACGACAGACGTACAGGCAGATGATAGATACAATCTGTTTAAAGCCAGGTGCAGAGGCGCACCCCCATGATCCCCGCATGCAGGAGGATCCCCAAGGATCACCGTGGACTCAGGTCAGCTGGGCTCCATCCTGAGTTGAGTGCAGCTACACCGAACAGTGAGACTGTCCCAAATACCACAAGGACACTGCTGGTCCCGAGGAGCCGAGGTCCACATGATGGCCGCCTCCTCGTGCCCCCTTCCGGGGTGTGTGGGTACCTGGTCATGCTGTGCGGCCCTCGCGGTGGTCTGCGTCTTGGGGCTTCAGGCCACGCTCTCCCCGGGCAGCAACATCTTCAGTTCATCTTCCTGTGGCAAAAGAGAGGGCGCTGAGAAAGCACACCGACCCCGCAGGATGCTGCAGGACCCCGCAGGCCCAGCAGGCAAGTTCAAGCTCTGACCTGGAAGCTGGACTGGGCTCGGACACGGCCGTGCATGCGCCCCCAGTAGCAGGGGACTCGCAACTGGGTTCCGGGGGCCACAGCAAAGATGCCTCGCACGGAGCACCCGCTGGCCTTTCCCCACTTCCTGGCGGCCCGGGCAAGCCCACACCGTCCACCTTACTCTAGCTCACTGACTCGAGGTCAGTCGTTAGCCAGCGAATTCAGCCCCACCCGAACACCTCAGGATCTAAACCCAGAGCAGGGGCGGGAGGCGCTGACCAGAGTACAACCAAGGAAGGGAGACGAAGGCCACCAGGTGTGCCCAGCGAGCAGCCCTGAATCCACCCATGGAGAGCAGCGCACCGTGCCACCTACCCCAGCGCCCCCCGCCAGCAGGGGTCGCAGAAAGATGCAGAGCTGTGCTGCCCTCATCGCTCCACGCCTGCATGTGCCTGCAGACCCAGCCAGCCCGGCGGAGCGCCGTGCCTGGCAGCACCGCGTGTGCACGCTGATGAGACACGGAAGGCGCGCTCAGCGATGCCAGCTCCGGGCAGGGCAGCCTGGGGCGAGCTGCGGACAGTCTCTATCCTAGGACAGTGCAGGGCCACCCTCACCCCGCCACTGCGCACGTGGAACACAGTGACATCGCGCGGGACGGGCTGTCCACCCAGGGAAGCAGCCAGGCGCCAGCTCAGTGGAACCTCTCCCGGGGCATGGCTGCCGCCTGAGGAGCCCAGCCGGCGGAGGCCACCCTGCGTCTCCGTGCCCGCTGGAGACCACAAGGCAGCAGACCCAGGCTCCAAGTCACAGCATGACAAAATGGGTCCCCAGCCAGCAGATCCCCGTGCAGGCCGTGAGTGGGCACACAGACGGGCATCAGCACCAGCGGCCTTCCCTGGGGCTTTGCTTGGTGACACCAACCACCACCAGGGCCCGGTGACATGTGCCACAGCCCCAGGGGGCATCTGTAGCCCAGACCATGTCACACCCCCGCAGCACCCCTGCTGGAGTCTGGGGACGGGACGAAGGACATGGTGGAGGCAGCAGCCAGCCCAGGCCCTCCTTGCCCCCACGGGAGCACCAAGGCCTTCCGCCAGGACTGATCTCAAGCTGTAGCCTCAGCTCCTCTGGTTTAAAGCCACAGAGGAAGGCAGTTTGGGGCTTACCAGGCGTGGCTGCGTCACGAGACAGCCTCTGGAAGGCCGGATGCAGCCTGCTGCATCTAACCCTGCAGAGCGGAGGAGTGGGCATGGGCCGACCTCACCTTTTGGGGGACCCCGCCCTGTGCCCCTGCTCAAGCCAGCTGACCACGGCTGGGCCTGACGCCTCCCTCCCAGGCCAGCTGGAGGGGTCAATGCAGAAACGTTTCTGTTTTTCATTTATTTGGTACAGGGTCTCCCTAAGCAGTTGAGCCTCACAGTGATCGTCCTGTCTCAGCCTCCCCAGTGCTTGTATTATAGGTGTGCACTCCAAGCCTGGTTTTGGGGCTGGGATGGTGCACTCAGGGTTCCATGTGTCCTCTGGAGCTGGCATGGCATGTGGTGCCAGGGGATTGAACCTGAGACTTTGCACTTGCCAGGCAGGCACTTAGATTGCCGAGCTATCTTCCCAGCCCAATGAGAGATTTTTTAACCTATTAATATTCAGCAATATGTGCATGAGAAAGTCCTGGCTTTTTTCACAAAATCATGGAAGGAAACTAAGTATTGGGGAGAAAGGAAAGCCATTAGCAAGAATTTCAAACTGGGGCTGTGCAGCAGACAGGCCAGAGGCCCATGGACAGTCAGGAGTGACCAGTCAGGCCCTGCTCCAGCGCCCACTGCCGCTCAGCTCCCAGCCCCCAGGCCACTGCCTGCCACCCTCAGTGTCACCACGAGAGGACACAGGCAGACCTGACCACCTGCAAACCAGGAAGAGCCTTCCTAAGACTCCAGGCACCTGGCCCTGCCAAGGTCAGAGCTGGGCCTCAGTTTCCCCGGGTCCCCAGAGCAGCTCAAGGGCCTGTCGGGAGAGAGGCAAGGTCTCCAGGGACCCTGCACACCAGGAACACACTGCACTGGAGGCAGGGGACACCCCAGTGCCGTGGGCAGCAAAGGGACACCTTCCCTCCCAGACATACATCTGCTTGACCCCTGGGGAGGTGACAGGGGAAGACTCTCCTAGACAGGAGGGTCCTCAGAGCCCAACAGCAACTGTGGGCTCTTCGAGGATCCTACAGGACCCAGCTAAACCCACCAGACCCAAAGCTGGACCCAGATGTCCCATCCCGCCCTGTGGCTACAGAGCTGGCCAGACACCCAGCAGGCAGCACTTCTTGTGGGGCGCATAGAAGGGGTGCCAGGGCAGGAGTGGACGTCAGACCCTGTGCACACAGCGAGCCAGGGGACAAGGCTGTTCTGTGTATGTGGCAGGTGACAGGCATCATCCCCAGCCCCAGCAAGGACCCCAACTGCATGTGATGAGGTACTTTAGGGTCACGACCTAAAGAGAAGAGGGGAGCAACACAGAGGCCCTCACGCGTGTGCGACTCGTGGGCTACAGCTTTGCTGCTGCTCGGGTGGGCCTCCAGCCTCCCCGAGAATAACGACGCACACAGCACGTAAATGCCACTCTGGTGAATGGTTCAGCACCGTGTCCACAAGCCTCCTCCTCCACACCACGGAGTCCCTGGCCAGCGCCTCGCCGCCCTGCTCCCGCCTGGGCCCAGGGACAGCAGTGCCACCATGTACAGACGGAGGGGCTCCTCTGCCCTCCAGACTCAGTCACAAAGGACAGCATCTCGCCCCAAAGACTGGTCAGAGTGACTGATGACTGATTGGTGCCTGGCTGGTGATTAACTGCTGACTCAGTACTCTTTACCAGGAGCGCGAGATGCTTGTCTGAGCCCAGCCCACGCCATCTGCTGTCGCACGCTCCGGCCCACGAAGCCCTCACACTAGACCAGATCACGGCCCACATGGCGTCCTCAGAGGCCTCCGCCCTGGGCTTTTCTACTGGAGTCAAACACAGACACACAGAGCTGCCCGGGTCGAGGCCTGCACTGTTTATCTCAGCTAGCTGCACATACCAGAGCCACAGACAGAAGACATCTCTGGCCAAGGCCTCGGCCGCCCCGGGCTTCCCCGAGAGCACCATGCTGATTCCTGGTGCCACACACTGGCTGTGCCACCCGTTGGCTCCATAAATGAAAGGCGAACTCCTGCCAGAGTCTGGGCATTGCCTGTTTCGCCTGGGACCCCTGCGTGTGGGAAGCCGCAGCTGCTGGGCCCGGTGCTCTGTCCAGTTCTTGTCCCAACGGCCCAGGATGGCTGCTGCCCCTCATCCCCAGATGGCTTCAGGCAGGGCCACGACACCCCAGGCACAGAGAACCTCCTGAAGGAGAGCCTTGGCCCGTGAGGAGGACCCGGGAAGGGCCTGGCGGGCTGCAGTGTGCACACACCGGCGTCCTGGGAGGCTCCCTTTCACTTCACTTTGGCGTCAGGGCAAGGCTGAGGCCATGATGTACCAGATCCAGAGAATGAGGCGAATGAAAAGACAGCTTACCTCCTTATTGGACAGAAATTGCCACGAACGTTCTGAACGGATGCAGGACATTGAGGCAGCCAGGACAACACAACTAAGGACATGCAGCAAAGTCCCCACTAGGACACGGAGAGGCGGCCCAGGACTCCCCCGTTCCCTCCTGCAGACCCATACTCCCCTGGGCCACAGCTGCACACCCCATGGGCTTCCCTGCACCCCAGACACAGGCAGCCAGGGAAGGGCAGACGGCCTTGGGCTGAGCATGGCCGCAGCTTCGTGCTAGGACCAGGGGACACAGGGACACACCTGTCTCACGGCGCGCAGCACTTGGGAAAGAGAGGCACTGCCCACAGCCCAGGGAGGGGCCTTTGACCCCAGTGCGTCCCTAAGGGGGCCACGTTGGCACCCTGCCCCAGCACCTGAGCTGCGCGCTGGGGTGCTGCTACTGCACCATGCCAGCTGCTCCAGCTCCTGGCACCGAGAGGGAGCTGGGGTTCATGGAATGGTCTCGCCCCTCAGCACATGGGAAGGAAGTGTTCTGTGGGCAGAAAGTCAGACGGGGGCTGTGCAGAAACAGCGCGGACAGCTCGCCGCCCCAGGAGGGGCCGGCTCCCGGGGGGACGGCCTGGCGCCTGGCAGAGTCGCTCAGGGCCGGCCTCTCCCCACTGCTGCCCTCCGCCAAGGCTTAGGGACACCCTTCATTCTGCTCTCGGATGAGACCAGTGGGCTCAGTGATGGACAGCCCCTGTCAAGGGTGGGCGTTCAGTGCCCAGTGAGATCACCGGAGACGATTCCTTGCGATTTAATCCCTACCTGCTGGTATTTCAAAGTCAGAACAATTGTGTGCAAAATCTGAACTCAAGCTCTTCCTGGAGTTTGAGACACCACACACCCCTGTGGCTCCCTGAATCACGCTGCTGGGGAAGAGGCAGCTGCTGCCAGGGAACCCCACTGAGAGTGGGGGGGCAGCCGCTCGGACTGCACAACATGCTGGGCTCCAGGACAAGTGTGGGGCCGGATCCTGATGCGCAGACCCTCCGCTGTGCCCGAGGCCTGTTTGTTTCTCTGTGTGCACCAAGCCCCAAGCAGCAGCCCTCCACACAGGTGACAGGGCCTCACGGCTGACTGAGTGCGTGTCATTGCAGATGGTGTCCTCCAAGCTGAGCCGCCTTCCTGCTGTGTGCAGGACAAGACCAGAGGCTCACCTGGGGCAGGTGCACGGCTGTGTGTGAGCGTGCAGCTTGCCGTGGTCAGAAGTTGCAGGCCGGCAGCCTTGGGACTGAGGTGACCAAGCTGGTGGCCCTAGGCGGACAGCAGAGCAGGGAATGGTGGCTCCCTGCTGGAGAAGGACATGAAAAGCCCAATTCACAGCCCCAGGCCCAGCTGGACCTGGGACCTCAGGAC